GTTCCCATTCAGGAGGATACTGCCATGGCAGGTTGGACTCTCTTTGGAAAAAGGAAAGTACTAGAACATGAGTAAAATATATATAGAAAGAGAGTATTGAAATACGCATAGTAAAAACTCAAGAGACCTACATAGCTATAGAGACCTCAGCTCACCGCACGCAACTAGACAGTTCTCAGTCACAGAATTTCTTTATGGATGGGAATGTTTTTACAAATGATTTTTTTAACAGAGGATTTATAGTTAGATTTACAATCTCAGTTCTGAAATTCTTATCAATATGTGCCTCTTTTTACTTATACAAATATATGCACTTGTATACTAAATATATATTTCCCTGTTTAAAAACATCTTATTAACTTATATTTTCTTTCACATATTTCCCTTTCTTGCATTTGTAACTCCTGGTAATCCTGTATTGCCCTATTTTTAAAGAAGGATTTTTTCTTTATTAAAAAAAATATATATATATACATGTTTATAGGCTAAAAGTTTTTAAGACTAGCAAAGAAGTTATGCATAAATGGCAGTAATAGAAAAATAAACATTTATTCAATTATGTCAGGCAAGTAGCATAAATGATTAGTGAAATCAATAAATAAATGGTAATATTCCTTAAGTTGGAATTCAACAATTTAGGAAGTGCTCTAAGATTTTGGGGTTTAGAACTCTCCCTTTTTTATTGGTAATGTGCCTTCTTTTCAAATTTCCATTTTCATTCAAGTTTCATAGGACTTGTTTCAGGAGAAAAGAAGGTAGGCAGGGAGATAGGAAGGAAAAAAGGAAGGAAGGTAGACAGGTAGGCAAGCAGGAAGGAAAGAAGGTTGGTTCAATAAGTTTTTAGAATCTTAACCAAAATTCAAAATCCACATGAAAGACAAAACAAAATACTTTCAAAATAAAAAGAATAGCAAAAATTTGCTGTAACATATGACTATTAAGAAAATCATTAAGAACACTTTGCTTTTAATATGATAAGCAAAATTGTTAATTAAAAATATAAATCTTTATAGACATTTTCTTAAGTTTGATTTTTTCCCTGTACTTATTTTGTATTATAACAGGCAACTTCTCTAGACGAATAGAAATGAAACCAGCTATTTGAAAATGAATTTTGAGGAAAAGCAATCTAATCCCTCATTGGGTTAGAATAGTAATTTATATGCCCTTTAAAATAAATTCTATGAAATTACAGTTTGTATTTCACATAGACAATGTGGTGAAATTCATAGCAATCTATCAATTTCAATTTCTATTTCCTAGGAAGCTAGGTATTAAAAATCAGAATTTCATTTACTCGTGTTACATTATTTTGATAAGCATTTATCAATTTTACATTCTCAGAATAAAAATATGTTAAACAATCCATAATCCTCTTCAATCCACTCTTAAGAGAAGATTTCTTCTTACTGTTTTGAACACAGCTTAAAAATATTTGCAAGTACTTTTTATTTATTTTTGTTTCAGAAAAACAATTAGCTTTTTATGACTTCTGTCTAATGTATTTCATGTCCAAAGTCTCAGAAGAAGAAACAGCTACATGATCCACAATGATTTTTTTCTAAATCCAACAATAATGTATTGATTTAATTTCAAAATTTTTTTATATTATCATAAATATAGATGTGATTCAATTGATAACAGTTTAAATGACCATAATTCACTATCAATAATAATTTTAAATAATTTTAAAAATAAATGATTGTAGCTTACTGGCAAAACACTACTTTTAATAAACTGGACAATTACAAAAAAATCTCCAGATAATTCCTTGAATTTTCGGTGGTTCGAGGGGATATATTTAAGCTTTCAAATCATAATTGTTTTCTCTGATAATTTACTTCTCTGAGCCTGTACACATGAGATGGCAAATATTTTTTGTTGGGTAATCTGGTACATCCATTCATGGGTGCTAATATCTTCATGGCCCAATGTGGTTGGTTTTTCCCATTTAAAGAAAAATTTTCCAGTCCTAACTTTCAGTGCTTGTTGCAGGCATTCACTCCTCTTTGTGATGCACTACACATGCACTTTGGTTTCCTCTTTGTTCATGCACTGCCAATGCACTTTGGTTCTGGCAAGCAGTTTAAATGAAGCTGTATTGGGGGAATTAGGCAATGACATGACTGACCTAATAATTTTGCCTATTTTTATTCTAAAATGAATTGATGTGGCCAAGAAAACCTGGTGGCGATTCATATTGGTTGCTAGATTTAACAGAACAAACAGATCATCCATGTCATAGACCACTTCTTTTGAGATCCAGACATTCTTTGCTCACTGACAAGTGTCAATGGGCATTAGGTTGTGGGTAACAGTAAGGAATATCCCCTCGCATCAATAACTTCCAGGTAGCATTCAATACACTATCCAGACCATCTTGGAAGCCTTCAGACCCCCAAAATATCTCTTTGTGAAACTGTTTGCCTAAGGAATAAAGTGTTTTTCTTTTCACTAAAGATTTTGACCACAAAAAATGTAGGGAGAATTGGAGAAAGGACTTAGGGTAGAAGAATTTCTTAAAATTATCAGTCATAAAATAGCCTTTCCTTAAAATCTTTAGGCTGAAGAAGGGGCTTTTCTGAGAGGAGGCTTTCAAAATCACGGGTTGCAGAGTTGGGGTCTGTGGGTAGAACCTGGAGTAGGATTAACAGATATATCATTGGTGAACTTTTTGGGCAGTAAGACACATTCACCCCAGAAAACTGTCTGCACTCTTTGTTTCATCATGTGCCATGTAGACAAATGACACAATTTTTAAAAATGGACCCATTATTATAGAACACTCAGAAAAAAAAACAAACAACAACACCTCATTTCATGTAGACACATTCTGAAGTGGCTATTGGGTCTTGTTTATATTTAACCTATAGGCAAATATTCTGGAAAATACCTTTAGGCTTGATTCTGGAAAATTGTCTATAGAAAATACAGATCAACACTTTAAGCATATAAAAACTGACTCTCATTTAGTCTTAGTCACTGAAAATATCAGCTAACAAACAATGTAAATAAACATACGTGATTAATGATCACAACATGTAAGAGCTATGTTTCAGAACAATTAAATGTGAAAATCATTGTAAATTGTAAGCATAGTGGAAAATAAATATGTAAAATTATATTCAAAGTGGGGCTACCTGTATTTCAACTAAGACCTCTCCCAAGTTAGTTACATTCAAAACTGAGAGATAATGACCAGATTCTATTCATAAAGAAAGGGTATTTTGTAAAAGTTTTAACGTAGATTACAAACACAGACTAGTTTCATCATTAAAAGAAAGTCATTTGGTAATAAAGTTTGTAATGCAGTTTCTTATAAAAAAAACAAAAAAAATTTTGTGCTTGTATTTTGGTCCATTGTATTCTGAACTGTGTATCTCTCACCAAACATTCACATGTCCTTAATTAAAGTCAAGCAGAGATTTCTGAAAAAAACTGTTGAAATGCAGAAATTTAGAGCTAAAAGAAGGCACACAGGAAATCATCTAAACCACATTCTTACAGATGAGAAAACTGAGGGGCAAAGAGTTTTGATGAATTCTCTAAGGTCAACTAGCTAGTGGGCAGAGTACAAAAGAGAATTGAGATTTCTTGTTTCTTAGGATAGTACTATTTTTCAGTACATCAAGATGCCTTCCATTGGCAATATGGTGGGCATCTTTAGTGACTATTTCCTTTATACTCATTCAAAGATTAAGTGAGGGCTCTCTTTAGGGAAGAGTAATGTTATGTGCCTATTGGAATGTCTGCACTATACTAGAGGACAGGAAGCAGTCCATGTTGGATTCAAGGAAAATGTAGTAGCTACTAAGATAAATGAGTCCTCATATTTTAATAAGCTTGGACCAAATGACCACTAAAAAGCTATTTTTAAATAGAAAAAATTTTGGACAGCATGTTATAAAGTATTGGACTGGGAGCCCAGAGATTGGAGGGTGGGGTTTAGGTTGAGTACGGTTCTACCATTCATAGACCATGTGTCTTTGAATAAGACAGTTAACTTCACTGGGTCTTAGTTTTCTCATCTGTAACACGGGGCCACTTACGCTTACATTACTTACCTCAGTGGGTCATTATGTGGAAAGTGCTTCATTAACGGTAAAATGCTCTAAACTTCAAGTATGTTCTGGTTTTTCATGGTGCCATGGAAGAAGGCTTTGGAATCAGAGGACCTGGGTTCTAATTTGATTTTTGATGCTAATTACCTCTTTGAATTTGTGCAAGTCACCGCACCCCCTGGGCCTCCATTTCTTCATCTGTAAAACAAGGGGAGTGAGACTATATGACTCCTGAGGTCCCTTCCAGCTCTAAACTATGGTCTTTGTTCTTTTTTTTTTCCATCATAGGTAATGCCATGATGGCTAGGTATTGCCAAATTTTAATATAAAATTCCAATAACTTAATTTCTGGTCATTAAATCTTGCCTATTCTCACGAGTTATATTTTAAACCACAAATGCCACAATTAAGCAAAGGCAAATTTAAAAAAATGCACCTTATGACATAGCACAGAGAACTAAAAATACTGTATTCCCTTAAATAAACTAACAGACTTAATGAACCTCATAATAGAAAGCAAGGTACATGAGATACTTTAAATAGAGGTTGCAATCTTGCAACGTAAGTCTGTACAGCTCCACCTGGCATCAGTCTATGAAGGAAGTACCTGTGTCTCTGGAAATTTAATCCCATATATTTTTGAGATTTTTGGCTCCCCCAAATCCATTATTTACAAATAGATGCATTTTGCAAGCTTGAAGCACCTTTTTTTCACATTGTTATGAATACATGCATTGACATTTCATCCTTTCATGTGCAAATTCTAAAATTCATTGGAACCCCAAAAATAGTTAAAACAGTTTAAAATTTGTCTAATTATAAGTGAAAGGATCAAAAATGTCAGACGTTGCAGAATGCCAATTCCTGATAGAGCTCTTTTTATTTTATCCACTGTTTTGAAGTCATTTGTGTTAGGTTGTTTGTTACAAAAAGCAGCCTCAACTCTTTATTTAAACAGTACTTAAACTAAACTGTTCATGCCATGCAAAAATAACATCTTATGCACTTGTTTTCATGAGAGGGGGGAAGGATAGGGGAGGCTTCCCATTTTTAGTTCATAGGCTTTACTAATTGTGGTTTTTAAGAAATAAGTTTTTATTGCTTTTTTAACTAGTCACATGCTGGTTTCACGCGTGGGACAATAACCTGTCTCCCCAGGATTTGAATGAATCTCTGGGGCAAACAAATGGTTTTCCATCTTGTACCCTTCTTGATTATTGTCCTTTTTCACTTCGCCCACAGCTTGGTAAATGTCTTGCATACAATTGTGACTTGAGTTTTGTGGGGAGGAAGAGAGAGCACTGGTCTCTTCTCTTAAAGGGTCTCTTCCATCACTATGCTTATCCCCACAGCAATTTGTGCTGGGGTCTGGCTGCCTGTCCTCTGAGGCTCCATGGAGCTCTAAGAAGTCTTCGTCTTCTCCAGTGTCTATTTCAGTGAAGCTCCTCCTCTCTCTTGAAGAGAAAGGAAATAGTTTTTGTTTGGGAAACAGAGGGGATGAACCTTTTGCAGGTCCTTGACAGAGCCCTGAGACCTCAGTGCCCAGCAAGGGTCTCTCTCCCTGGGGAGAATTCTCCTCTAAGAGAATGGTGCTGATATGTTGGGGTGTGGATAGAGTAAAGTCTGCCATGGTAGTGACTGGCAAGGGCCTGGCAGTGCTAGGTGGGGTCTGGGGGGCACTGCCTCTGCTCTCCTTGAAGTTCACTTTCAGGGACCTGGACTTAAGGGGATTGCTACCTTTTAGAGAACTTTTTGGACTCTCTGTTGCACTGTCAAATTGCAGAGGACCATGCAACCCAGAATGGGGCACTACTGAGTCTGGGCTCCCAGTGGTGTCAATTGGAGTATATTCAAATATAACATCTCTAGGGGCAGAACTTTTTTCCCTGGTGAGTGTTAAAAATGGGAGTCCCTTGGCTCTTTGGTGCTCTTCTGCCCCAGTGGGGTCATGGGGGAATCTCATCTGTAAGTGAGTGCTGGCATAGGGTGGGAGGGGGGATCTTTCAGTTTCTGTGAAGTCAGTGGCACAGCTGGTGAAGCTGTCAATACTGGAGGTGCTCCTCATGTCCATGATGACCTCCGTCTGGGCCACAGCCAGCTGCTCCTGAGGGCAGGCCACCTCCTCCATCTCAATCTCCTCCTTGTATACTGGTGGTTTTTCAGCCTGCTCTTGGTAGTCGGAGGCATTCAAGTGTGAGTGGGACTGTGTAGTCTTAGTGATTTCGTTGTATAGCATTTCCAGTTTGTGAGCACTCAAGTGCTGTGGGCTTAAAGAAGTATTGTTGAGTTGTTCATGGGAATCTTTCTGACTCACTTCCTGATACTTATTCTCATAGGATTTGTTGGAGCTGGTTTCAGACAATGCCTTCCTGGCCCACTTCCATCGGCTTGGAGACAGGTGGTTGTCATCTGTTGAGTCCTTAGTGTTGGCAGAATCTCCCACTTTCTCCACAGCCACATCAATAAGTTCCATACTCCGAGCAAAGGCATCTTTCAAGTTCATGGAAACAATACTTCCATTTCTTTTAGCCCGCTCCAGGGCCTCCCGCCTTTTAATTGCCTTCTCCTGACGTTTTTGTTCCTTGTAAAACTCAGAGAAATTGTTCACGATGATTGGGATGGGAAGAGCAATCACTAGCACACCAGCTATACAGCAGAGGCCTCCCACAATTTTTCCCAATAAAGTTTTAGGGTAGATGTCACCGTACCCTACAGTGGTCATGGTGATGGTGGCCCACCAAAAAGAGGCAGGGATACTGGTGAACTTAGTAGCATCTTCATCCTTCTCTGCAAAAAACACAAGACTAGAAAATATCATTATCCCCATGGCTAAAAAGAGTATCAACAAGCCCAATTCATTGTAACTCCGTCTCAGAGTGAATCCCAAAGACTGGAGGCCTGTTGAATGTCTGGCAAGTTTCAGGATCCGGAGTATCCTCATGATACGGAAGATCTGTACCACCCGCCTGACGTTCTGGAACTGGAGCACACTTTTGTTGGACTCAGTGAGGAAAATGGTGACATAGTATGGCAAAATGGCCAGCAAATCAATGACATTTAATGGACCTTTAAAGAACTTCCACTTATTTGGTGAGGACAGGAAGCGTAAAAGGTACTCCATTGTAAACCAGGCTATGCAGACAGCCTCAACGTGTGCTAACTGTGGGTTGTCATTGGGCTGACCATATTCGTCCACTTCTTGAAGTTCAGGTAGGGTGTTGAGAGACAGAGCAATGGTGGATAGCACGATGAATAGAATGGATACAATGGCCAAGATCTGGAGGGGAAAAATAAAACATTAGTTAGCAATCTACAGATCACAGAAAAGCTGGTATTTGGTGCTTATAAATAGGACTTTGCAGTTTAGAAAACGCTTTTCTCACAATAATCCTGTAAGATAGTGCAAGAATGATAAACCTCATTTTATAGATAATGAAACTAAAGATCAGAGAGTTTAAGTGGCTTGACCAGTTAATAAGGAGGCGGAGTTGGGACTCAGATTCAGGTCTGCTTACAAGTCCAATGCTCAGCAGCCAGGGGGTACAGTGGATAGAGCACTGGGTCTGGAATTGGGAAGATCAGAGTCCAAATTTGATCTCAGATACTTTCTAGCTGTGTGACCTTGGGCAAGTCATTTAATATCTATTTGCCTCAGTTTCCTCAACTGCAAGATGGGAATAATAACAGCATCTACCTCACAGGGTTGTTGTGAGGATCAAACGAGATAAAAGGAGTAAAACATTTATCACAATGCCTGGCACAGAATAAGTTCCATATAAATGCTTATTCTCATATCTTTCTCTTTTCCTTTTTGCTAAATCTTTCACTATTTTAGTTATACAAGGTGGTTAAAAAGTAAACATGTGTAAGTAATCCTCTGATTTTTTTTTGAAAAAAGTGACCAAAAAACATGACATATTTGTAGTTACTGGAGCAGCTAGGTGGTGCAATGGAAAGAGTGCCTAACCTGGAGTTAAGAAGATCTGAGTTCAAATCCAGCCATGGACACCTACTTACCAGTTGTAAGGCTTTGGGCTAATCACATAACCTGTCTGCCTCATTTCCTCATTTGTAAAATGGGGATAATAATAGCCACTTCCCAGGGTTGTTTTAGGATAAAATGAGATAATATTTGTAAAGCAATTTGTGGACCTTAAAGCACTATATAAATTCTAGCTACTATTACAACTACTACTAAATTCCCCTCATTTTAGGTAGATAACATTGTGATCTTCAATTGCTTATTATGCTAAATATAAAATGGAACATTTTACATTATAATTTCATTTTGTAAATGAAGAGGGAAGTTTTTATTATTACTCTCATAATGCAAAAATAATATAATGGTTTGGAAATTTCTATCCTATGATAACAAAACTTCAAGATTTACAAAATGCTTTATATTATGTTACCTCTATTGAGCCTCAAAATGATATTCAGAAGTAGGGGCTACAGGCATTATTATCTCCATTTTACAGAGAAAGAAACCGAGGCTCAGGGAAGTTTAAGGACTTTCTTATAATCAAGTAATAAGTCATGCTAGAGGTGAGAGTCCAACCGAGGTCTCCTCAGAATCTAAGTTAGCACTCTTTCCCCAATATCATGCTGCTTCATTAGTTGTTCCACTAATTCAATAGTTCTATTTAGCAGTGCAGGTTTAAATTCTAGGTCCCCAAAGAAAGTTTTTTCAGGGGAAGCCTTTCCCCAGTCAAACCCATTATCTTTAGAAATGTCAAGCCATTCACTTTGTAAACCAACCCCATTTCAGGGGACTTTTGCACTATAGGGACTATGTGAGCAGTTGCAGCTCTACTAATTCATTAATTCAGCAAGCATTTATTCAGTATCTACCATATGCAAAGCGTTTTGTTAGGAAATGGGGATAAAAAGACAAAAAAGAAAGAATCTCAGACCTCTAATAGCTTACTTTCTACATCATCTGCCCTTGTCTCCAGAATATTCCCTTCCTCACTATCAATAGTGTTTATGAGATGTAAAGCTATTCAAGACAAAAAATCCATTCCCTCTATGAACTTACATTCTAGAGCCCAATACTAATGTAGAATAATTTGTGCATAAGACTATACAATATTAAGAAGAAAAAAAGGCCATCAAAAGCACAGTTAAGCATTTACATATGTAACGGGCAATCTCTTTGGATCATGTGCATTGATTGGCTCCATGGGCCATCCCCCTCTTATTATAGGAACCAACTAAACATTTCTATTCTTATATACCATTTTGTAGGGGTCAGAAGTCAAAGTGTATGTTCTAATGGGCTTACCTTTGTTACACATAATTTACATTACTGAGGCAGAGTGTTTCTAGTTTTGGGGTGGTGAAATGCACAAGCTATTCTCCTTGAGTAAAGGAAGATTTCGTGGAGAAAGCTTTTGGAGGAGAAGTACAACTTGAAACACCTTGGTGACAAACATGCGCATTAAATATAGGAAGTGACATGTGATGAGTATAAAGTTAGAAGAGGGGAAAGAAGGATGAAGTAGATCCAAAGAACTTGTAAAACCCATGGCATGTCCACCTCTGGGACAGGCATTCAGTTCTGGCAATGGCCTCTCAAGAAAGGCCTATCAATCCACAGAAGGGGTGAATGGTGGTTTGGGGACAGAATGAGTTGTAAGGGCAGTATCTACATAAGGACAGACTAAGGAGGTTATGGAAGTTATGGAAGACTAAGACTGAGAAAGCCTTTGTTGCAGAGCGATAAAATAAGGAAAGAGCATGATCTGGCTCTTTCTCATCAAATTATGGATTCCTAGATTTTAATAGAACCTTGTCTGTATTTGAAGGAGAAGATGAGTTCAAATTTTGGCTTAGCTATTTATTCTCTGTATGACCCAACTTCTTTGGGATCTGAAAGTTGAGAGGACTAGAAGATGCCTAAGATTTCATCCAGTTGTAAATCCTAACACCCGTCAAATAGTTTTAGGATAAAGAAAATTAGCATTTCTTTATTTAGCAGAAAGTATTTAGAACCCCAAACACCTTCTCTGACTGAACACACTCTCTTGTCCTTCTACCTCTCCCCCTCTCTTATTCTTCCTAAACCTGGCTCTCTGCCTTTATCTCAATCTTTGCTGCCTTGATGCTTCATTTCCTCCTATTCCATAAAATCTGTTCTGGCTTCACTTTTCTTACTAACGTGTGCTCACTCAATGGCGTGCCATTTATTTCTATGAATTCCTCTTCTTCATCCTTGAATCGTTTATCCACTTGTGCCAACCAGTCTTGGATATCCGTTACCAATCACATTCTCTGTTCCCACTCCCAAGCTATAGAAAAATGTTTAAGTAAAACACAAAATTGAGCTGCCTAGGGTACATTACACATTTACTTTTTTTAATCTCCACTGAGCTTCACTATTTTACAATAGTCCTTTTGTTAATTTTTTTTAAAAAATCATTTTATTTATTCTAAAATTAAACTACAAGATGACACAAACACAGAACTTAAAACTGTATTCTATTTTATACTGTGAATTTCCATTTCAAACCACTTGCTTTTTAAAAAAGTATATACTTTTTTAAAAAGTATATAATAAATTCTACACATTACTTTAAAAACTGTCCTTCTCTGTGCTTTCTTCTGAACTTCCTTCTGTTATCTGCTTTAAAAAAGAATTTCAATGGTCCTATTTTTTTGGGCATCATTTTTGCTAACTCTTTTGTCTCTTCTCACCACTTCCTTAGTTAACTGAGAGAAATGGGAAAAACCCTTAAAAGAATTAAACATAATCAAGCAAAATGAATCCACACAGTGACCATGTCCAAAAAAATTATGTTTTTGGACCTTGTTTCCATTACTTCTCTGTCAGGAGGTGGGTAACATGCCCCATCAAAGGTGTTCTAGAAACATGGATGGTCATTTCGTTGATCAGAAATAAGTCTTTCAAAGTTGTTTTTCTTTATAATGTTGTCTGTGCATAACATGTTCCCCTGATTCTGCTCATTTAATTTTGTCTCAATTCATACTACTCAGGATTCTCTAAAATAGACTCATAACTTCTTAGGAACAATAATATTTTAGTTACATACACGTATCAAAATTTGTTTGGTTTATTCCCCAGTCATCTAAGAGGCAATTTAAGGTTCTTGTTTAGATTTTAGTTCTCTTATTGTATTTTCTTTCCCCTTTTCAATCCTCTTTTCAGGTTCAAAAAGTTTCTTTTGCTTAAGACTATTCTCTTCCATGTATTATTCTTCCTTTTAACTCACCCACTCTTTTGACCACTGCTTGATATATTTATAAGTCAAATTCTGTGTGTGTATATCTTCTTGGTCCATTTCAGACAATGAGTAAAGTTCATTTGATGGCCACTCCCCCATTTCTTTCTCCATGTTTGCATATTATTCTTCACACACATACCAACTTATGAGAAATAGCAAATTCCCCAACTCCTGACTTCTTCCTCCTTTATACAATAGCGCATTACTCCTCATACACTCTCTTTTCTTTTCTCTCTTAAGGCTCTAAGAACAGAATGAATCCATCCCCAGATCTTCTGCTTTTTTTAAAAAAAATACATATTTATTTATTTAACATTTCCTTCTTTTAAAATTTTGAGCTCCAAATTCTTTCCTTCTCCCCTACATCTCCACCCATTGATAAGGCAAGCAAAATGATATCAATCATAAATGTGAAATCATGCAAAACACATTTCCATATCAACCATAAAGCAAAAAAAAAAAAAAAAAGCAAGAAAACTACATTTCAATTTCCACTTTGAGTTCTCCAGTTCTCTCTCTGGAGGTGGACAATACCCTCTCATTATGAGTCCTTTGGAATTGTCCTGGACCACTGCACTGACCAGAATAATAAAAAAGTCTTTCACAGTTGATTATCATCACAACATTGCTTCTACTGTGCACAGTCTCCCAGCCCTTCTCATTTCATTCTGTATCAGTTCACATAGATCTTCCCATGTTTTTTTTTCCTGAAACTACCCCTTCACCATTTTTGAATAATATTTAATTTTTCCCAGTTACATGTAAAATAATTTTTAACATACATATTTAAAAATTTTGAGTTCCAAATTCTCTCCTTCCTTCCCTCCTTTCACTCCTCCCTGAGATGGTAAGCAATTTGATGTAGGTTATACATATGTAATCATGCAAAACATATTTCTATATTAGCCATATTGTGAAAGAAAATGCAGACCAAAAAAACCACCATGAAAAAAAATAAAGTGAAAAATAGTATGCTTAAATCTGCATTTAGACTCTGTCAGTTCTTTCTCTGGAGGTGGATAGCATTTTTCAT